ACAGCAATTAAGTCTGCTGTACAACTGACTCTTTCTTTCTACTCTTTCCTGAAAGATTTCTCCACCATCGCAGGTCACGTGGTTCAGTAACGTTTACTTACAATACAAATTTTTTCATAATAGGAATCATTCCTCTCAAACCCTGGTTTATCAACCAAGTTTACGCAATACTGTAAACCCTTTATTGTCACTTCAACACTGCCCAGGTACCTTCACCAGGAGGAGGCTCCCTTCACTCGTCCCCAGTACTGCCCTCCCCTGCATTCTTTGGCTTTCTATCAGTTCTTCATCCATTCAGGTTTCCTCATGAGATTACAAATCTCCAATCACATCTCAGCACTACATCCAAATTCTCTCACTAGTCCCGGCCACTGACAGTTACTTCCTACACTGGTCTAGAACTCCTCAAGGTCACCCATGAGATCTGGAATCAACGTATTCCAAACTCTGTCAATGAGTAGTAATATCTGGAAAGAAATTCTTTTATCTGAGCAGTAGGTCTCAAGCATGAACCTAAGACACTCAATAAACCACAGGGCCGTCATGTCAGATGTGCTTGTCGTGAAGGCTCACTGTTCCACTGGGTAGACTTTAGTATGATTCTTAAAGGACGTAGGATTTTCAGAAGCATAAGGAACCACTGGCTTCCTCTTAAATTCACCAGCTGAATTAGCTCCTAACGAGAGAGTGAGCCTGTTCTTTGAAGCTAAATATTGATTTCTCCTCCCTGAGTATGGAAGTCCTGATGGGATCTTCTTCCCACAGAAGGCCATTTCACCTACACTGAAAATCTGTTTGGCACGGCCGTCTCCCTCGCTGTCATGCTAGATCCTCTTGATAACTTGCTGAGGCTTCCTTGTCAGTATCTGCCGCTTCTCGTGTGTCACATCATGAGGATGGCTTCCTCTCTTACAACGTCTGCTAGCCTAGAACTCTTCTTTGGCAGCTTCCCCACCGCTAAGGTCTAAATCAGGAGACCATTCAAAAGCCCAAATGTGAAAAGCTTACTTCCCAGGTTGGTGTTATTAGGAGGCTGAAGAAAGGACGACAAAGGGCCTAGACAAAGGGCCTAGGAGAAAGTCTGCCGGTCAGTAGGGCCCGCCCTCTCAAAGGGGTAAGAGAAAGTCCCTTAGCTACGAAGGCCGGCCAGTCATAAACTAAAGCCTCCGAACTGAGACTCAAAATCAACGCTTTCCCAGTTGCTTTATCTCAGGTAACAGTTACAACAGCAAAGAGCTGGCAAAGCGCACATCTTTTACAGCCTTCATAGAACTTAGGCGTTAGGGTCTTGCTCTAGATTAGGCTTTAGATTAAGGAAATAAATGTGGCTTGAGCTGGGATTGCCATGAGCTCAAGGCCAGTCTAAACTAGACAGCACAGCGTTGTCTCAAAAAACAGGAAATGCGACCGGTGTGACCTTCTGTCCAGGTCCCTAAAATCCCTCCTCATCAGACGTTTCCTTTATCTTTCCTTCATCTTTCCCGCATTCGCCGCACCAGCACTTTTAATTTCCGCCCAGAGCTTTTCCTTTGTATTTGCACTTACAGCTGGTTAATCACTTGGCAGAGAGGCCTAGCACTTAGCCTTAGTTTCCAGCATGCCTTCCTTACTAGGCTGCATCATTTCTGGCTTTTTCTAGCTTTTGCTGTAAGGTGAGAGAGATGTCACCCTTCCTTGCACTTGAGCACTTAAGAGTCCACCTTAAGGTACTCACTTGACTGATTTATTATTGTATCTCAAGGAATAAGGAGACCCAAGGAGAGGAACAATGTAGGGGAATAGCTAGTTGTTAGCACAGCCAGACACACATTTATGGATTAAGTTCACCCTTACATAACCCTCTCAAACAATTACTATAGTAATTAGCAATGACTACTGATCATAGATCTGATTAACAGACATGATAATGAAAAAGTTTAGAAGACTGTGAGAATAATCATGTTACTACCAATCACAAAAATATGAAGTAAACACATGCTGTTGGAAAAACGGTGTCAATTTCTCAACCTAGAGTTGCCCCTTCAATTTGAAAAAATGTAATAACTATGAAGAGCAATAAAACAAGGTATGCCTACATTTTATTATATGAATGTGTATATTTTACAGCAGTTTAGGTTGTGAATGTGAAGACAGTAAGAACAGGTCGTACTTTGAAGCTCTGAAATTACATGTGTTGTCCCTATGAGCTGTTTTCGAAACTATCTGCTGCTTCGTGATGCGCAATGATCTCACCAGGTTTTACTGTGTTGGTGTACAGAAACCAGAATGTGAACATAAATGATGAAACGAAAGCTAATCTCCAATTACTCAATAAGTAATATGGCTCCTACGCAATCCTTTGGGAAGTAGAAGGAAAAACTCTTCAGTTTTATCAGAAAATTTTACCTTTTAGGCTCCACCAATTGTGGCTTCTTAGCTGGCAGTCTGTCCTCAGATCTCTAATACTATCACAGGATATATTAATCATGAAAATTAATGACAGTATTGATCCCTTAAGTTTTTTAAATAAAAATTTTGAATATCATGAAAGACCTTTCATGGTGAAAAATAGATCAGTCATCAAGTGCCAGATTCAGGTTTCATTCTTTAAAAAAAATTAAGCCACAATTATTACTAGGTAAATATTACACTTGATTTTAAAAGCAAAGTCTAAAATAAAACACTGCTACCTGGAACCTCAACAGTTACTTTCAATATACTAATCTTCATGTTAGGCTGGAGATCTTTACCGTTTCTATTTTCCACAAGAAAATTCTACATCTAGTTTCTTCAAATCTGTCATACTTACATGCTGAAAACCTTTTATAATCACACACAGTATAGATCAAGTGACCCTTGGCCACAAAATCACAGTTGTTAGAGGGCTGCTAATCCATTCATCCACACAGTGCTCTGTACTACCAAATGAGCTGCTGGAGTCCCCACTGGGAGGGCTGCTAATCAGAATGGCAACTTCAATCGCTGGGCCCTTCAAAATGAAAACTCTAGGAGCTGTGAGTTGTAACACCAAAGCTGGGATAACAGAGTTTGGCTGTTAACCTGGCTGCTGATTCCCTGAGACGTTGGATGATTTACTTATCCTGTGACTCCTAATTTAAAATGGAGAAAATGGAGATGTCCTATCTCACTGACTATTACAGTAGAAGATAATATGCAAATAATGCATTTAAAGCTTTGTAAAGAACTTTGTGTGTGCATGTGTGATACTGGGGATTGAATCCAAACCTTCGCATGTGTTAGGAAAGTGCTCTGAGCTATATTCCCACTGAGCTACATCCTCTGCCCTTTTTAAATTTTGAGACAAGAGTTTCTTGCCTCAGTCTCCCAAGTAGCTAAAATTATAGGTATGTGCCTCCACACTCAGCTGTTAAGAATTTTTAAAATGCGAAAAACTATTATAAATATTTATAGTATTCTGGGACAATAATATTAATGGACTTGATCTAACGTTCAGATAGCTTCTTACATATGAAAGAATAATAGAGCACTGCTTGCTGACCAGAATAAATCAGTCAGATCCAAACAGTATGGTTTTGGTTTTTATTATATATCTAGTGATAGGCGTTTCCTCATGTAAGAGCTGCCTCTGTTGCTGGATAGCGCCCCCTGTGTTAATTTCTCAAATCCCCAAGTCAAACCTCCCACCCAGTGGGCATGTGCACAAGATCCTCCTATCAGCAGTCAGTATGTCATTCTACCTACCCCTTTAGCTCCGCCTCTGTTGAGTGTCTGACTATGTGGAAAGGCTCCTATCGGCTGTCACCACGTCATTCTGCCCCCCCCTTTAGCTCCGCCTCGGTTAGGTCCCTATAAAAACGCTGTGATTGATCCCGAAGCTTCCGAAGGCTGCCAATGTCCCTGCCCAGCTGGCGTCTCTTCAGTAGTCTCCTCAGCAGCCTTCCCATCCCCTGAATAAAAGCCTGTATACCTCCCTCCTGCTCTCTCTTCTCTCTCACACAGCAAAAAAACCAAACATCTATGCCACTGTAAATATCTAATAATCGGTAAAGGAGAGCAAGACCATTTTCACTATTAATCCCAAATACAGACAATGAAGTAAATATAAAATGCAGGTGTGTTTACACAGAATGTACCACATAACTAGACACCAACTTATTTTTCTATAAATACGACAGAATAAAATTACTGTTTCTCTCTATTTATCCTGAAAAATCATCTAAAAGTAACATGAGGAAGGAAAATCAAAATCCTCACTTTTAGAAAAACTAGGAGACAAACCACAAAATGAGTACAAAGGCTGCCAAAGGAATGAAAATGGAATACAAATGCGGGTTGCTGGCAGCAGACAGAAAATACTACAGGAATAGGTATCAGAAAGAACAAAGTACACTTCCTACCCTACACCGGTATAAACTCCTTGTTTATATCAATTGAAACAAGACACAAGGGCTGACCACTAAAGCTCGCAGGAAGTGATCTGGGTCTAACAAGTAGAGGAGACAGTGTTAAAAAGCAATCTCATAAACTATATTTACACAGAGAAAGCTATCTCCATGGCTATGGGAGACAGGAGATTTTATATGATGGACAATTACAGTGTCTATCTCTATTGCTATGGGGCAGAAAAAAGACAAAAGACATAATCAAACAGTTCAGAAACAACAGCCACAGGAAAATACTAATGAAAATCATGATAAATGGTTTACCATACATAAACTAATAAAACTATAAAATTAACTCTAATTTGTGATTTATAAAAATATATATAACCATAAAAGTAAAGCATGGTGCCACACTTCTGTGATCTCAGCCACTCAAGAAACTGAAGGGCAATCACAAATTCAAGGTCAGCTCAGACAACTTAATAAAATACTAACTTGAGCTAAGAAATAAACACAAAGGTCTGGGTCTGTAGCTCAGTGACATAGCATTTGCCTAGCATGTGCAAGGCATTGGGTTCAAACCCAAGCATTGCAAAAACGGAAAGGAAAACAAAATTACTGACTAGAATAATCTTGAAGTATACATCAATTGCTTACCTCTGATTCATGCTTCATTTTTTCTTCCTCTAAAATACGTGCAAACTCTTCTTTCTGGTGTTCAAATTCTGACTTAAGAAATGTATGTTCATAGCGAAGCTTATTATATTCAGTTCTATACTTTTCCGCTTCCTACATTAAAAGGAGACTGCAAGTCATGACAAAGTTTTAAGTAAAATTTGTGCTTGCTTTAACAAGTACAATTTTAAATTATAGTAACAGCCTTTCTAAAAGTAAGAATACATATTTAACAGAAGTACAAATGAAACTTTGGAAAATCCTTTTAAGTATCCTACATGCAGAATTAATACACTCTTGAGAAGACACCAACAAAGCAAATTACCATTCAATTAATGTTACTTCTTTACTGATTCTCATCATAATAAAAATGTATAGCGTGCCAAGTTTTACGTTTTAGCTTAATAAATAATATTTAAGAAGGCAGCAAACTTTTCAAAATACAACCAAATTCTTAAAGTCTAATAAAGTATAAAACACCCCTCTACAAGAAAGATTTCATCAAAGTAGATAAAAGATCATTTGAATATTTAGTGCAGTAACTTAGTGTTCCATCAAATTTTACACTGATGACGCAAGCCCACACACCAGCTGAACACTCATAAACATCGTGCCAGCTTTGCTGTGTCCTGAGAGGGTACCAGCCTTGCATCCTTACAATCCATAAAACTATTCTGAATAATCAACTAAAAATTTAGGCAACACAGAAAAAGATGCAGAAGACACTAGTTAACAAATATCAGAAAACTAGGTAGGAAGGAAAGTATGTCTCTTAAAATATTCAGTGCACTATAAATCTTTAGTGCAGACTTCTAAGCCAGTTTATAAACCAAGAAAATTGGTTTCATGATCTTATTAGAGATATAGTTTGTTTTGAATTTAAAAGCATGTTTTAACTTCACTTGATCACCTACTTTGGATCTAGTTAATTTTATTTCCAAACATTAAATCTAATGCCAAGCCATGATACTTTACCACTAGAAGTATATTTGGAATATCATAGCATGAAGCCAGTAAGCCTTTATGAATGAGGATTCCACAACTGCCTTGTGTAAGTGACAGTATCATCAGACTATAGACCTCTCACAGGGTCTATTTTGAAAGGACAATAGTCATCTGTATGTACAGGCCTGGTATGTTTGTTTTTAAAGGCAACATAGAAAATGTCTGGCACCGCACCTAATGTATTTCTTTGCCATCTTTCCCAGATCCCTTTATTAAACATTTATATTATATCAACACTTCATAAAATGAGGTATCTTATCTTGAAATAAAACTAACAAATATTTTCCTTTCTGACATTGCATGAAACTCATTCTTTCATTCAACAAATATTAACTGGGCACTACTGTATGTCGGGAACTGTTCTAAGGAACTTGGAATGTAACAGTGAAAACAGATCAAGGTTATTTCTCTTGTGCAACAACAATTCTGGAGTTGCTAAATTAGAAAAGCATAACAGGTAAGTAAATAACGTAGCACATTAGTATATGATAGAGACTAGAGCAGTGCTGGCGAACCTAGGGCCCCGAGCCGCAGCAGGCACGCAGGGCCCTCGCCGTGGGCACATGAACCACGTTGCCCCAGCAGCAAGAGTTGTTTTTTCTACACTAAACCTCAGTTTTCAGGCTGACATGCAGTGTAGGCACTTTGAAATAAATAAGTGGGTTTGAAGTTTGGGCACTCATCTCTAAAAGGTCCGCCATGCCTGCATTAGAGGGTAAATAAAAACAGAGTAAGATAAAGGGGATCCAAAGGTTTAAGCAGCGATGAGAAAAGCCGATCACAATGTTAAAAAGGGAAAGTGGAGGGGCTGATCGAAGTGGGCCTCGGTGAGAAAGTAACATTTTAGGTAATGACTTGCACAAGATGAAGCAGTGAGCCCAGAGAGGCTAGATGAAGAATACTCAAAGCAGAAACAATGCTTCTACAGTGCTCCTGAGCTGCATTATTTCTGGAGTGCCAAAGACACATCAGCAGGATGTAGCTGGGGAAGGGAAGCAGAGACAATGAAATCCAGTGTTGTAACCCTTAGAGTCCACCGTGAGGACTCCAAGTAAACAGGGAGCCCTGCAGAGTTTGAGTAAAGGAAAGATACTTTACATCATGTGATAGTCACATGACAGCAAGCATACAGAGTTCTATATAATTACTTACTTCATCCAGATTCCGGCAACGCTCTCGCATTGGAGTTTCTAACTCTTGTTGTATCTGGGCTCTTAACAATTCCAAGTTTTGCCGATTTAATACCTTGTATGTAGAGAAATACAAATAATTCCAAATAAAAAACTATATACATGGAAATAAAAGATTCTCCAAATGTCAGAATCTCTCTCCTAATTATGAAAATGAAACAAAATACATAGAAGTTGCCATAATAGAGATAATTACCATAATTACTATATAAATGGGACCACAGCTTCAAATAATACTTTTAAGAATCTCAATTTCTAGCTCTGAGAGATGTGAAAAAATCTATTAATATGAGGTAAAGATAATCACTAAATGTTATCACGATTATTAAGAATAATTATATTGTTGGCTAAGACTAGCATATTGAACAATGGCTGGTGGTCCAGCTATTTTCTAAAACAGGCAAAGGTGCAATAATTTGTTACACCAAAGTGAATTCTTCAGGCTAATTTCTAATCACAAAAGCTGATGGCTTCTCAGACCATCAAAATTAATTTAAGCTCCTGCCTGTCACACACTCTTATAGAACTCACATTGCAATATGTAAGTAAATATTTCTGCAAGTTCCACATAGGCAGGCACAGCTGTCTTTAATCACCACTGCATTCCCGACACCTCCCACCACAGCCTGCCGCACAGAAACCACTCCAGTATTCCTTCACAAATGAATGAGTGAACAAATGAACAAGTACTGGTGTAAAAAAAAAAAAAAAAATCAGTTATTTATATGTGAGCGTCCGTGAAAATCAGAATAATGTTCAGTTTAGTTATTATTCATCAATTTTCCATATACTTTATTCAAAACTGTAGTAAATATGTTACTAAAAAGCTACTAAAACAAGGTATTTTGCAGTGTACTATAATCTTTCTGTTGTAAGCACTTCATATGCATTAACTTATTTAAACCGCAATGCTATGGCTTGTATCTAGATGTCTCCTAAAGTCTCACGTGGTCATATGTGAGGCTTTTCTGAGGTGGCTGGATTTAGAGAGTGTGATGCTAGGATCAAGGATGTGATGCTGGGACTGCTCACAGTGCAGTGCTAGGACTAAGGATATGAGACTCCTGGATAAACTATAAGACAGAAAGGAAGTCATCACATAGTGCTTGCCTCAGCTTTCCAAGTGCTGGGATTACAGGCGGGTACACCACACCCAGCTATGAGACATTTTTTAAAATCTCTTTTTCATTTCATATTTAACTGGAGTTAACGAGGTGATCCTCTGACTTTCATCTATATTTTATTGTTCTAAATAATGGCACCTGTAGCATTAATACATTGTAATGGCACATGAATAAGGGAATCTTCTGTTTCCTAAATAGACAATTGAAATTACATGTTTATAGTTTACAACACACTTTGATATGTGTATATTTTGTGGAACAACTAAACCCAGCTAATTAACATCTCATATATTTATCACTTTTTGGTAGCACAGATTACATTTTTCTTTGATTTTAAAAAAGGACTGTACATGTACACAGATCTAGCATTTGCAATATGGGATGCAGGCAATTGTATTGCACCTTTAATCCAGGACATTTCTTATTGATAGTTTTAAAAAACAAGTATAGTAATTTAATAAAGATAATTACACCCCCTGAATGATGTGTTTTGAAATTTCATTTTAGGCTTTTTTTTATTATCATTTTTCTCCTTGAAATAAAATGGATTTGGGGGAAAAAAGATAATTACAACTTATTTTGTGTCTGGATTATTTCATGGAGCTGATGATCTGAATAGTTGAGTTTGTTTCTCAAAATATGTATTTAGATTGCTCTTTGTAATAGTTATCTAATTTGCAATTTTTACTTAAGGCTGATGGAAACCATGACTTATTCAGCTTATAGATATTCTATATATTTTATCCAAAGTTTCTTCTAATAAACTTTTCCTTTTAATTGGGGTGTTTAATGTTTTTATATTCACTGTGATTATTAATAATTTTAGTTTAAAATATATTATTTGTTTTCCATATGTTGTACTGTTTCCTGTTTCATTTTTAATTTTCTTTATTTTTATGATTCCATTATATCTTTTTTGTACTTAATAGCTTTAGCTCTTTGAGTTACTTTAATTATGTACGCCTTTTACACTGAGTGTAAGTCTATGTGCCTACCCTAGCTATAAATCCTACCTGCATTGTTATTTTTGTTCAAAAAGGTCATTGTCTTTAAAATAGATTTAAATAATAAGAAAAATTCTTATGTATTTACCTATGTAGCTGTCAAGTTTCAGTGCTTTTCATCTCTTTATCCTCATTTCCTCCCGGTAGATTTATAAAATTCTCCCTTGTGTTAAGGACTTTAACATTTCCTTTGTGGGTCAGAAACTTTTTTCAGGTTTTTTTTTAAAGACAGGCTCTCACTAAGGTGCCCAAGCTGGTCTTGAATTATAATCTTACCTCAGCCTGCCAAGTTGGGATTATGGTTGTGCACTATTACATCCATCTTTTTTTCCCCTTTATATCTGAAAAATTAGTGTTTTACAAAGATATTTTCACTGAATGTTGCAGTCCCAGTTGACAGCTCTTTTACCCTAGTAATTTAAGAGATGTAGCTCTGCCATGGTCTGTTGTTTGGGTCGTTTTACACAAGAAATGTGCAGTCTTTGTTCTGTGTATGCCCCGTATCATTCCTGTCCTCATTAGCTTTAGCTAGTAAGTATATATGCAGTATATTTTTAATCTCAGAAATTATAGTTTTCATCTCTAGAAATTTAATTTTATGATTCTTGTATCTTTCTTGACTCAACAAATTCAGTCTTGGTTTTTCAAACATACAGAACTAAGATATAGTAACTTTATAATAACTGTCTTAACGTCTAACATTTGTGTCACTCACTTCGGTTTCACTGACTTCTTTTTTCCTTCAGTATTGGTAATATTTTCCTGCTGTTGCATGTCTAGGAGATTTTTATTGTATGCTAGCTAGACATTGTATGTTTTATTTTGTTGGGTGCTGGACATTTTTTGTATTCTGATAAACATTCTTAAACTTTGTTCTGGGACACAGTCAAGTCACTTGGAAACAGTTTCACCTCTCGGGGTCCTGCTAACATTTGTTACATGAGAAAAGGGTTCCTGTAGTGCTAATTACTTCCCACTGCTAAGACAGGGTCCTACTGATTAGTAATTTTTCTGTGAAATGAAGTTTTCCCCTGTGGCCTTGGGAACAGGAATTACTCTTAGGTCTGTGTGTGCTGTGAGTGCTGGTGATCCCTCTCATCCTTTCGGGTGGCTCTTTCCCCAGTCTTCACTAGTCTCCTCGAACACATGCGCTGCTCTGCAAGCTGAGCCAGACTTCCTGAAGGTCTCCATGGTTCTCTGTACTCTCTCCTGCCAACCACCTTATCTTGTGACACTAACCGCTGTGGTTTCCCTGAATCCTCAATTCTGTCTCCTCGAATTCTTTAGATTCTTCTTGGGTATCCTGTCTTGTGCCATGGCCTGGAACATCCTAGAAGCGTGCCTTTGTTTTGCTTGCTTTTTTATGTCCAGTGTCTCAAAAACTGTTGCTTAACTTTTGTCCATTTGTTTTTTTCATGCAGGAGAATAAGGCTAGTCTCATTATTCCCTCTTGGCTGGAAGTGGAAGCCCTTTTAGTTTTAATTAACTTGTAATTATGAAATTCTCAAACATGTGCTAGTGAAATATAGAATAGTGTGAGACACTCTCACATCACCACCATTAGTAATGGTCTCCGAACCGGGCTTGTTTTAAATACTACCTCTCCTTCCTCCAGAGTCTTTGTCAATCTCTATAGATTACTTTGAATCAAATCATATTATTTCATCTCTAAAAATCTAGTATATATCAGTTTTGTACTGAGAATTCCTTTTAAAAGCATAATATACGTTTATCATACTTAAATACTTATTCCCTATTACTTTTTAATAGTTTTACTTTGTTCAGATTTCCTTGAATTTTCCAGTTTTGCTGGTTTTTTAAAGTTGGTGTGTACCAGGCTAATGGCAATGCCTGTAATCCCACCACTCAGGAGGCTGAAGCAGGAGGACTGCTGTGAGCCTGAAGCCAGCCTGGGCTACATAGCTCTCAAGGTTACCCTGACTCAAGGCTGACACTTTCCTAACACTTGGTTTCAAGCAGGAGCCTAAAGAGATGTCTTTCTGTGGTCTGTTGACCATTTCAGAACTTGGGAAACAAAATGGTCAATTCACTAGAAAGAAACACCTTACTAAAAACAAATTGACTTATACCCACATGTGGTAGTACACACCTGTAATGTCAACTCTTGAAAGACTGAGGCTGGAGAATTGCCATAAGTTTGAGGCCAGCATGGGTTCATTAGGATTTCAAGGCCAGCCTGGACTACATGGCAAGACCTTGTCTCAAAAAGCAAACAAACAAAAATCTCTCTCTCTCTCTCGATTTATAGTTTTAAATATATTTAATAGCATGCGCCAGGTTCAAAAGTATAGACTTAAATTTTCTTTATTTCATTATAGCATAAGATAAACACTTTTGAACTGCTATTGTTATTTTCTTTAAAATTTGTCCACAGAGAATCATCATGTTTTAAACATTTATCTTCAGAGTTCTAATTGCTTTGTACATGTATTTTCTATATTAAGGACAGTAATCACAACAATCAGTTAGCAGAATACTTGATTAAGATGTTTATCAAAATAATAAATTGAGCGAATATTTAATAAAAAGAGGAATTAGGAGAAAAACAAAAAAATTAACAAATAAAAACTGATGGCTGGAGCTAGGTGCAGAGACTCACGCCTGTAATCCCAGTACTCTGAGAAACTGAGGCAGCTTGAGCCCAGAGCGGGCAATTCAGCAGCTTATCCCTGTCTCCAAAAAGAGGATGTATGTGCTCGGATGTAGCTCAGTGCAAAGTCCCTTGGTTTAATCATTAGTATGGAGGAGAAATAAAGGACGAGAGCTTTCCATTGCAAAGGAGAATCCTGAGACATTTCTTTAAGTCCCTTTTAATTCTAGCTTTCACTAATCAGATGACCTTTTTACTTTTAGTCTATATTTCACTGTTCTAAATAATGGAATATCTATCATTAATAAATTATAATTGCATGTAAATCAAATTGAATCCCTTTTTTCCTAAATTGACAAGTGAAACTGTTAAGTTTATAGTTTATAACAGATTTCGGTATGTGTGTACTTTGTGGAATGACTAAACCCAGCTAATTAATATATATATATAACATACCATATACCCTCTTTCAGTAATTAAATTGCATGCTCTACCCCCCACACCTTCATAAGGTGCAAGCTCTTAAAAGGATGAGGTTCACATTTTATCAGATTTTACGTTGAGATTTGCGTTGGGCACTTTATTTTTAATCCTTCGTATCTTCACAACTACCATCCCTATTTTACAAAATATAGATGTATATATCACAAAAGTCTTAAGATTGAAAAGAAGTTACTGCCAAGGCCTAGGACCTGGCTTGTAGAAGCAAATGATTTCCTGAAAAGTGTGCTAACAATCTGCAGAAGGCACAGCGAGCAGAAAACCAACTGACCTGTGTGCTCCTTGCCCTGCAGTGATGGAGCTGTGTCATATCCACGCTACCCCATATGTGTTCAATTCCTGTAGATACCTCTTGGGATCAACAGCACTTTCAACCCTCCCATGCTGTACTGCTCACACTGGCCCAGGCTCCCTAACAGCAAATAAATTTAGGAGTTTTCTGAGCCATGAGGTCTCTAATACACAGCCTCTAAGATTATTAAAATCTATTTCTAGGAATCATTAAAAATAACCAGGTTCATAATAAAATAACTCGCTTCCAGGAACTCTGTAACACATGCACAAATAACTAAAGTTATACAATTAGTTTTCTTCATCCCATTTTACAAGAAATTATTCCACATCTCAGATTTCTAATGGAACATTGCCAGTTCCTGTCTGAAAGAAACCTAACAGGAATTCTTTATCCTGTAACAAATCTTTAACACTCCAACATGTGCCATAATAGTAACATAAACTAGGCCAATTTTTAAAGCACTTTTTCAATGTAAGAGGATAAATACAACTATGAAAAATTTTTTAATAAATTAATTACTGAAACAGTAATACATTTTGATATTCGCTTCTTAGTACCCAAAATAAAAGAAAACGTGTGGAATTATACAGTTTTTGCTACCTGGAACATGAATTTTACTGAAAGAATTTTTTTCAGGTTTATCAAAGTGTATCAGTAATTCCTCATATTCAAAAGAAGTTTGTCCACAGCCCATATGACCACACACTAAATGCCCACACCTAATCCAAATTCAAAAATCTAAATGCACACCAATGTCAAATTTGAAAGCTTCAAGGTCTGAAACACTTCTGACCCAAGCATTTTACTTAAGAAACACCCAACAGGTAACAATGGCTAACACATACTGATCTCTAACTACATCAGAGCACGGCCTTAACACTTCCTATGCAGTGGCTCTTAGTTACTTTTTCTCCTTGCTGAGACAAACTACATGACACCCAAAGTTAAGGGAGGAAAGATTTATCTGTTTGCAGAGGTTTCAGTTCGAAATTAGATGGCTCCCAGGAAGAGGGACGTGGCCAAGAGAAACGCTTCATGACAAAGAGAAGGCAGAAGTCACAAGCAGCCCACCCAAACAGCACCAGCAGCTTATTTCTGCTCCGCCACCTTTTAAACTGCACTGGCACACTTTAGGTATACATAACGGTCACATTCCTCATAGGGAATCTGCACCTGTACATGATACATCTTGAGTCTACTTCTGTCTCCTCACCTCGCCCCTTCCCCTCCTTATTTACAAAAACTTTGTTTTCATTTTTTGCTTCTTCTTTCCTTCTTCCCTGCTTTCTTACCCCTCCCCATTTCTGGTTCCTCGCACCATTCAAACATTTTCTTCCTATTTCATGTCTCTTACATGTTTTGGTCTTTATTGCCCTGTCGCTTCCCACACCAGAAGAACCATGTGATATTTGAACACGTGTGTCCATTCTTAACTATTTATCGGTTGATTTGGGCTGTTTCTAAAATTCAGCTATTACAAACCGTGCTGCTACAAATGCAGGTGTGCATATATCACTTTGGTATGATGCCTTTAATTCTTTCAAGATGATACCAAGAGCAGCTCTGTTTTTGAGGAATCTCCACACTCATTTCCACAGTGGTCTACACTTTCACCAATAGTGCAGAAGTTTCCTTTTCCCCCACAACCCTGCACTTGTTTTTGGTTGGCTTCTAGATAATACTTATTTTTTCTGGCTTGATATTGATTTAACTTGCATCTCTCAAATGACTTGTGCTAGTTAACATTTTTTCATGTATTTACTTGCTGTTTCTGTTTCTTGTTCTGAGAAGCGTCTATTCATTTCAGATGTCCACTTTGGACTGAGTCTTTGGGATCTGATTTCTTGAGTTCTTTTCTATATTCTAAGCATTAGTCTTTTGACTAAGGAACTTCTGGCAAAAACTTTTGCCCATTCTGTGGGTTTGTCTTTTTTCTCTATTGGCAGTTCCTCTCATCTTTTCAGTAAGATGAGAACCCAGTTCTTGATTGACTGTGCTATTCTTTCTGTGATTAGGGTTTCGTGTGTGAAGTCTTTGCCTACATCTATGTCTTCAAGAGTTCTATCTAGTTTATCTTCCAGCAAATTGAGCACATTAAGTGCTATTTACATCTTTTATCCATTTCAATTTTAGTTTAGTTTAGTGAAAGATACAGGTCTAGTTTTAGACTCTGACATGTGGAAACCCAGTTTTTCTACCAACACTTATAAAGAGGCTTTCTTTCATTGAATGTGTTTGGCATCTTTGTCAAAAATAAGGTGGCTTAGTATGTCTGGAGTTGTTTCTGCATCTTCTAGCCTGTTCCACTGATCCTTGGGTCTGTTGCTTTGCCAGTGTATGCTGTTTTTATCACAATACCTTTGTAGTATAATTTCAAGTTAGGGACTGTGATGTTCCCCGCCTTGCTTTTGTAGCTAGAATTGCTTTTGCTATTCTAGGTGTATTCTGGTTCAGAATAAATTGTAGGATTGTTTTCTCTAATTCTGTGACGTACACTACTGGTATTTTGATCAGACTTCATGCATTAAATCTGCATAACAATTTTGGAAGTATGGCCATTTTTACTATATTGTCTCTTTCTACCCAAGAACAAGGGAAATTGTTTCATTTTTGATATGCTATTTAATCTCCTTTTTCAGAGTACTATAGTTTTCAGTGTAAAGGTTGTTAGCTTCTTTCATTAGGTTGATTCCTATTTCATTTTTTTTTATGCTATTGCAAATTCCATCAGTGAATTTGTTATTTGTATACAGGAACACTATTGATTTTTGAGTGCTGACTTTACATCCAGCTACACTACTGAATTTGATTATTAAATCTAGAAATCTTTTGATGGATTTTTTTGGGGTCATCTATATCAAGTATTTTGTCATCTGCAAATAATGATAATTTAACTTTTTCCTTTCCTATCCTTATTCCTTTTCTTTCTCTTGTCCAATTGTTCTGGCTATACTGGCTCTGATCAATTTTATCTTATTCTTCTTTACAACATTCTAGCAGCTGTTAGGTTGATTTTCTGTGGTCTCTGTTACTAAGAAGTCTTTTTTTTTTCATGATCTCTAATTATAATCCTGTCTTCTAGATCTGGGACTTCATCCTCACACTGGCTCATTCTGTTGTGTATACTCTAATGTCCTGAATATCTGATTGAGCCTATTTCCTGGATACTATTTCCTTCCTATGTTGGGCATTCATGGATTCCACGATTTTCCTAACTTCTTCCTTTTTTTTTAATCTGTATCTTTTCCAGAGTCACTAACCCTGCCTTTCATTATGGTAATCATGGCTGAAGTTTCCTGAGAAAGTATTTCTGATTTGATTTTTTCTAGAACCTCAGTCATTTGCTTCGTTATTTCCGCTGTTACCATTTCTGTGGGTTTGGGGTGGTGGCTTTCAAATTATTCCAACTTGCTGCCCCCTTGTCTTTGGCAGGGGTGGTATGCTACTTAAATGTTTTCTTATTGTTTTTTTTTTTTAGTTTAATTCCTGCATACATGCTTGAAAATGGTTTATGGCAGGTATCTTTACTGCTAGTATTTAAAACCCTTAGGAAATGACTACTCAAAGATGTCTTCCTGGCATAGCTGGCTTTGAGGTTTTGAGTCTGCTGCAAGATCCTACCTGTGAAAGTTACTGGGATCAGCAATTGCTGCCTCTAT